GTATAAGAGCTTAAAGAGTAATTAGTAGAGGTTATAAAGCGTTAAGGGCGGAAATAAAAGTAGATTTAGATAGGTAGGGTACTAGACTTTAGTGTAGAAGCATCGTAGGTAGCTAAAAGTACTTCTACTAGTCGCATAATATTAAAGAAGGCGGGTAGTAGAGGTAGTTAAGAAAGAGCTCTACTAGGTTAACAGCACTATAGAACCTATAGAAGAGCAGGCTATAACTCTCGTATTTACTAAAAAGATATAGAAAAAATTCTAAATCTAATATAAGTAAGTTGTACGAGGCTTCTATAGCGTAGAATAATCTTAGTTTTTATACATAAAGTTCGCAATGCTAAGAAAAAGTGTTTGGCTTAGTAGTGTGTCCGGCTTGGTAGTGCTTTACGTTGACCTTTTAAATATAAAATAGTTATAGTATAGAAGTATTTTTCTCTAAATACGTTTAGTTAATAAACTTTTATAAGATTATACTTCCCTCGGCCTATGCTAGAGCGTTTCTTTAGGCTTTATTATTTTCTAACTTATTTTTACCTAAATAATATTTTAGTACGTCTTTATACTTATATTTTTTGTTTTAAATTTCTTTTACCTATAGAACTAGATATTATTAGTATAATAGTTAGGCTTACTATATTAGTAGTAATTATTAGTAGGAATATTATCTAGTATACAGGTTTTTAATAGTAGTCTAGAAGTAGAAGAATATACGTAGTATAGTGTTAAGATTAGTTTAGGCCTAGCGTAGTAGGTATAGAGTTAAAAATTCTAAATTAGCTATAAATTTATTTTATTAACAAAACTTCTTACTAACTAGGCTTATATTCTTAGTAAGTACTTACTAGTGTATTTATTCTATCTATATTAAAAGCTACGAGATATTAAACTACTTTTTTTAAATAAGCCTACCTATAAATATTTAAATTCTAGATAAAGAGCATATAGTATTAGTAAAATCTACTTTTATATATAGAAAAACTATTCTAATATTAATATAGCCTTATTCATAGTTATACTAATAAAGTATAATATAAATTATATAAAGGTCTCCTTTCTCTCTATTTCAAGATAGTAGAAAGCTACTTAGCTCTTTGCTTATTTATTTCTAGTAATAAAATAGTTATAATTTAAGTAATAAAATTTCATTCTTAGTACTTAGTAGCTATTTCTTCTCTAATTTAGTAAGGTATTATAGTTTTAGATATTCTTTAGTAGTACTAATTATATACGGAGGGGTGACACAAATAAAACGTAATTGAAAAAGTTATAGTTTTTAATATATTATAACTTTAGATCCAGCCTAGCTAGAACTAAACAGGTAAGTGCCCTGAAGAGCTACAATCTAGGAGATTAAAATAGGTAACTAGCCTTTTGCTTAGTAAGCAACCAACTAAGTAAATTAACGGTTAAAACTGACGTTATTGAAAATTGATAATTAAAGCTTATAAATCTTTTTAATAAACGGATAGAATTTACTAAAGAGAATATATTTTAGTACATCCTTAGTAAAGATTACGTGACCTAATTTTATTGTTAAGTTTCTTAGTTTATTAATTAAGTATCTTTAATATAAAATACTAGCTATAGATTACGTAATAGATATTACTAATCTAGACTAGTAGCTAGATAGTTTATCTTAATCTCTACTTAGTTCTAAATTTTAGTCTTCTAAGTCCTTAAAATGGCTTATAAATTTTCTGAATTAGAAACTAAAATCTCTCGTTTACTTTACGCAATAATCGCTCCTTAAAATATAATTATTACTCTGAATAAGTCTCCTCAGACTATTTACGACGCTATTTATCGTATTAAAAAGAAGAAAAAACTAAAAATCTAACTAGAAAGAGCTAGTAAAGGCTAGGTTTTAAAGACCTTAACTAGAGCTAATAGAGCTATTAATAGGGACTTAACTCAGAGTCCTAGGAAGTAAAATAAAAGACTATTAGTTAAAAATAGTCTAGATATATCTACTAGAAGCTTACAGCGGCTTTTAAAAGACGATGGATATAGCTGTAATATAGTAAAAAAAAAGTCTATTTTAAACGCTTTTAAAGCTAAAAATAGGCTTATTTTTACTAAGAAGTAGCTAAAGGATATTAAAAATATTGATTTTATCAAGATTATACTCTTAGATAAGTTAGTAATCTAGCGTAGATACGGTTCTAGGAACGAATATTACTGAAAAAGAGCTTAAAATAAGGCTAGTAAAGAACTAAACTTTACTAGGAATAAAAGTAAGTTTAAACATATTTCTAATAGGCTATTTTATTCAGCTTTTTATCTAGCTTTTTTATATAATTTTAGTTCTCTAGTAGCTATTTAGCTAATAGAAATATAACTCGTAATATATCTATTTAATTCTAGAGAGCTATTTAGATAGGTAGATGATCTAATTCAGTTGTTATTAAGATACTAAAAATAACTATAAACTTTAATTGTCGCTACTATATCCGTAAAATTGAAATATCTTAAGTTAAACCTAATATTAAACACGGTAAGTTACATAGCTTTTTTTTTTAACTTTTTAGTTCATTTTTCTCCCTACGCTAAGATACGTAATAATTAAATAAAATAAACTAAAATAGATACTAATAGCTATATAGAGTAGTAGTTTTAGTAGGATAACTCTAAAATCTATACTATACAGAACGTTGTTGCTTAGTTTTTAAGAAATAAAGTTAAGCTTTATTCTTATCTACTCTATAGTCCTAATTTAAACCTAATAGAAAACGTGTGGAGTTTACTTAAAGACTGTCTTAGTAAACGTCTATTTAAATCTTTAGGCCTAGGTAATACCGAATAGTGTATTAATAGCTTTATTAAAGCTATAAAAGAGGTAAAGTAAGCTTTATTATAATAGGATATAGATAATTATATTTTATCACTATCTAGACGTTATAATGCTGTAGTAAAAGTAAAGAGCTTATATATAAAGTATTAGATACTACTAATATCTAATTATATCTAAAAAAGTTTTTTTTCTTATTTTCCTTTTATCAGAAGATTTGATCAAGAAAGTATAGCTTATAATCTAGGATGTTATATACTTATATAAAATTAATATTATATTTACCTTATAGCCGATTTTGTACGCCCACTATTAGGTAAATTTAAGTTTTAGTTAGCGTTTTATAGTACTCTAAGTTTAACTTTAAATAATTTCTTTTAACTACTAACTAAGCAAAATATTAGTTCTTTTACTAAATCATATAGATCGTAGCTTTTCAGAGCACTAACCCGTTAAGTCTTAACTAGTCTAGATCTAAAGTTATAATAGTTTAAAAACTACAACCTGTTTTATTACGTTATATTTATGTCACCTCTCTATAGTTTTTATAGAATTTATATTTTTAATATTCTTTAGCTACTTCTTAGTAGATATAAACCTATTTCTATCTCTAAACGCGTTTATAATAGACTTTTTATTTTCTATTTTATAGCTATATCCTCTATTTTTTAAAATCCGCTATGACCTCTTAGTAGAAATATCTTAACTACTTTTAACTAATAGTCTTTTATTTTACTTCTTTGGACTCTGAGTTAAGTCCCTATTGATAGCTCTTTTAGCTCTAGTTAAAGTTTTTTAAATTAATTCTTTACAAGCTCTTTTTAGTTAAAATGTTAGTTTTTCTTCTTCTTAATATAATATGTAGGATCGTTAATAGTCTTAAGAGACTTATTAAGAGGGATAATTATATTTTTAGAAGTAATTTTTAGGTTAAGTAAATAAGAGATTTTAATTTCTAATTTAGAAAATTTAAGAGCTATCTTAGGAACTTAGAAGACTAGAATTTAGAACTTAGTAGAAATCAAGATGTACTATCTAGCTACCAGTCTAGATTAGTAATATCTATTAAGTAATTTATAGCTTCTTTTTTATAATAAAGATATCTAATTATTAAACTAAGAAACTTCAAAACTAAGTCAAGTGACCTTTACTAAGAATATACTACAATATATCCTTTTTAGTAAATTCTATATGTCTATTAAAAAGTTATATAAGCTTTAAAAATTTATTTTCAACATCGTCCATTTTAACTATTAATATGCTTAGCCAACTACTTACTAAGCAAAAAGTTAGAACTCTATTTTAATCTCCTATATTGTAGCTCTTCACACCACCAACTCACTTAGTTCTAGCTAGGCTAGATCTAAAGTTATACTAGTTTAAAAACTAGAACTTTTTTAATTACGTTTTATTTGTGTCACCCTTCTGTACATTAAGTCTATAGAGTATCTAATAAAGCATAGACTTACTAAAGGTAGGTAAAGAGGTGCCGTTAGGCTGCACTATAGTCGCAGCTTTAAGCAGCTATTTATACTTAATTTTAGGCGAACGGCGTACTTTACAAAATATAATCTTCCTCTAATACTTTAAAAGTATCTATAGCTAACTACTACAAAGCCTATCTACCGTAGTTAAGGCAGTGTTATACTTTTAATAGAGGTAGATAATAGTAGTAATAGCTTATAAAAAGATAGCTGCAACTTTAGTTACAGTATAACCGCTACCTAACATACTAATTACGATATTTCGCTCCTCTATTGTAATATTTCGGCGACGGCAAGCATTTTGCGACATTATACAATAGAATTAGTACGCTGTAGCGTTAGTAGGAGGTATTCAAAATATAGATAGTGGGGGGTGGAGGTTTAGTGGGGTAGCTTGACTTGCGAAACTTTTGACGCGTGGCTGTATACCTAAACAAACTACGACCTAAGGTCTAGGCGACCTAATCTAACCTCTACCTATGGCCCGTGCGACTACTACCTAACCTCTACCTAACACTATAATAGAGGGTACCCATTTTCTAGCCTAGTCTCTATTCGTAGAACATGCTTGTAGGGTTCCAAGCTAGTTTATCGTAGCGCTGACATGCTGACATTAAAAGCTCCGTGTCTAGACTAATTATGCATTAGTCTAGACCTCTCGTATCTCACCGCTCTATTTAATTTATGTATATATAAAGTCAAGTCCGTATCACGAAGCCCTCAATCACTCCATAGTACAGACTTCGCAGCAGCTATCAAACATATTTATCCTAATAATCTAGCTCATCATGAAGACATCTGTCATTGCTTCCCTCTTCGCCTCTTGCGCTTTGGCGCAAGTCCTTACCGTCAACCAACTGAATACGGAGCTTGCCAAGATCTGCCAGGGAAAGCAGCCTGGTGATGCTTGCAACTGGGTACGTATCTCTTAGCTATTCTCTTGCCTTCAGTTTTACTCCTTTCAGAGCTAAGCCACCCTCTAGAACTACAGCTATTCCTTCCCAGCATACCCCGGACCAGGCACCACGATCCAGACCTGCAAGGCCACAACTTTCTGCAATTGTGGTAACAGCCCAAAAGTCTGCACAGTTGGAAGTCCTGAATATCAACAGAACACCCTGGTATGTTTGAATGTCGCGTATCTTGATATTTACCGGTAACTAATTTGAGTTTCACAGATATGCCAGACGCCTCCCGCCAGTGCTTGCACCAAGAGGACAATTTCTTGAATACTTGATGGGCTGTCAAGACGAGTTGGAAGTCAATCAAAGGCCGTGCTGTGCATCCTCGTGTCAGCCTTACGTAGTAGTTTATAAATCTAGACAAATGGACCATTGAACTTTCCTATGACTCACCACTTGATCATGTCGTCTACCATGTTTCATGCATGCTTGGCCAAGTATGTTGTCATACTGTTTCCAACGAAAACGCGCTGTATGAGTAGTGATTAGTTAGATAAGCAAAATTCAAACAGGAAAAATCTCCAACAGGCCCTGCTAGCGACACTTGGGTTCCCATCTTGAGTTGATCTGTTCAAGAATGCATCCCGTGAGGTAGCTTCATTCGTCCACAGAAAGTGCACTAAGCTAGCGTAAAGAGTAGACCATTACTCCAGCGCGTAATTGCAGGAAGCCAGAATGGCAACAAAGGTTCAATCCTTGCCAATAGCGAAGCGAAGGAGAGTTTAACCAACTCACTCATGGCAACAGTCGCTTGGATTCGGATTGACGTTGAGAGTCCGCGCACTAGCTGCAGGTACCTTCTTTGTTTCCCGGTGGATGTGATGTATGGCGCCACAACCGAGAAAACAAGGACGCATCGCCAGTCAAATCTTTCGATTGGCCTGCGCCACAGCCGCAATGCAGCTTTTCATCCTTTCCCATGGAATCAGGATTGTATCTGGGTCATGTTCGTCTCGTATATACTCCAACACCGTAGCCTCTTCTTCGGTTGGAATATTTACTGAGCAGACCGCCAACTCGACAGCGTCAACGACAACCCCACTTCTATTGCGACGGGAGCGCTGTCGCGCCCGATCCCTCTCTCAATAGCATTGACCTATTGAAAGGCACTGTCCGTGCTTCCTTGGACATCATCTGTGCTAATGCCGTAGTGGCTCGGCCACCGCTATGTTTTGTAGCCTAGTGGGAGCGAGGAAATAAGAATGACAGGCCGCAGGTTGGTGCCGGCTCTTTCGCTGTTGAATCCGATTCGGAACGAGCTTCAATTTGATGCTTTGCCAGCCTAACACGCTGGTAGAAGTCTGTAGCTGCAGACCCCCTGTGGAGGGTGTTCAGCATGTTTTCGATGCGTGTATGGGACCCAGTCTGACATGATACTTTGTGGCTATGCCTAGCCAGCCAGTCAATGCGCTGCTGCGTGCCTCGAGGGCTAAATTGTAGGAGTATGGCAAGAAAGTGCTAGGAGATTTGGGTTTCCCGTTTCGTATGTCTATTGGCTCAGGAAACGCTTGAGTGGAGCAGCGATTTGGGGGCCAAAACCACGTCTGGCATTGTCCGGGGACGTATAATAAACTTACAACCTCACTTGATTTCATAGATGGAGTTTTCCACCAAACTATGGTAAACAGCGCTCTCCATCTACTGGGAGGACCTAACTCGCAGCCTTATGGTCCAGTACCCGTGACTGAGGACCCCTCAACCTCCGAAGCGAAGAAAGCTCCTGCGTATACAACAACAACACCCATTGTTCCTGGCTTGGAAAAGAGTTCCTCACAATCATGGTCGGCTGTGCAGATTGCCCTGACGCTGGCGATTCCACTTGTCGCGCTCATCACATGGCTGGCATGTGTCCGAGCCAACCCGCGTATCTTCGACACATTCGCGGGTGAGGAGATTGGGGGCCGACTTAGCCAAGCACAGGCAAAGGCGATTGATGTAATTACAGGAGCGATCCTAGCGCCCATGTTCATGGCAGCTGTGAACTATGTGTGGTTTGCAAGCGCCCGCGTTTCCGTTGTGAACGAACAACAATCGAAACCAGTTCCACTTCGCACGCTGGTAGCTGCTAGCGGTACGTCTGGCGGGAATTACGACCTTTTCCATCTTCGCAACCTGCTTCTCGGCAAGACCTGGTCACTCGCAACTTTTGCTCTGTTGACCATTCTCTCCGCTGTGTCTAGAACAGCGTTGAGCAATGTCATTGCCTACGAGGCATTTTCTGAACTCAGCTCTTCAAAGACTTTGGCTGCTTTACGACTGCAAACCGACGCTGTTGTCAACGCCAATCTCGGAATGGACAATTATCTTAAACTGCGTTTGTACGACTTCGACATGTCTCAGAACGCCCAAGTCGCAAAGGACATGATGAGCCTTCTGACCGACCTATCCTACGAAGATGCCGCCTCGAAGCTAACCAATGGTACCTACGTGGGCGTCAACGCAACAACTCAATCGCTACGATCTCTGCCGCCGTCCATTTCCAAGCTAGAGAACGTACCAGCCTATCGAATCTCGGTTGACTGCATCCCCGATTTGCCATTGTCAATATCCGTCATGCAGCCCCTAGGCCCGCTCAACACACAAATCGGACTCATGCTCAACACGACCACCAAGTCAAACAACACCATATTCCAAGCCAACTACCCAGGTGTACCACAGAACATCCAGACCGGAGACGGCGACAGCTACACATACGTTGCATTTTCTCTGGGCTATCGTGAGGCGTACCTAGGTCACTTGGAGCGGTTCAACTTGTCCAACAGTACGACTCCGTCTCAATATGGCGACGTGGGCTACCGCGCCTTCAACATGAGCCAATGGAAGTTCAACGGAACGCAAGGCAACATGTCCATAAGTGGGTTGCGATGTGTACTGTACCGCGAACAAGGACTCGCGAACTCGACTCGGGTCCCAAGCAATGATTCAAGCATCAGCGGCTGGACCATTGACACCACCTCCTTTCCCTCCTCACAGGAAAAAGCCATCGTTCCCTCTCTGCTCGCCAAGTTCCAATGGAGCAACTTCAACTTCCACGCCCCCGGATCAGTGATTCCGGGTCTTGGGCCGGCGCTCAACAAAATGCATGCGGCAGAAGTGGAAGAGTGGGGAACCAGAGCCAACGACACTTTTACCAACTTTTCCCTCAATTTTCTCTACGCTTCGGGCGAGACGCAGCGTATTATATACGAGGTAGCGGCATCCAGTAAAAATGCTTCGCACCACCGTCCTGAATACACAATCAATGTCCCCGCATTTGAAATGCAGCAGCAGTACCGCATCACGTACGTGCCGAGTATCCTTCTCGTGGGTATGGTGTGCTTGGTTGGAGCGGCAGCCATTACGGGGATCATGGCACTTTATACGCGGAAGTCTTTCTCGGCAAGAGCTCATCGCCAGGTCGACGTAACCAGGCTTTTGCTGGATAGCGTGGTGGGGCTGGGCGCTGAGGCGAATGACTTGGCAAGGGTGGCGCAGAGAGGGAATGATGAATTGGATGTTTGGGCTGCGGGTTGTAAAGTCAGATATACGAGTATGGGTGATGACGACGGATCGGTACAGGTTGTGCTGGAGAAGACGCATTCATAGTAAAATCTCAAGTAGAGAGAGAGAGAGAGTGTGTGTGTGTGTGTGAACTGGATGAGAAGAATAGACAGAGAAATCAGAATTCAAGATGCGTTTTATATATCCACGTTTTTTGATTTCATGCTCCATCGTCTTCGTAGCTATTGGTAAGTCTTAGAAAGCGTATAGTTGGTGAGGAATAACTAAACCTAAATTCAAAGGTAGTTCCAAAGACAAGCACAGCAATGGTTGATCGAGAAGGCCTATGTGCGATCCGTACATCACTCGTCCGGACGAACCCACGATACGGTTGTTTGACCATTGATCAGCACCACTCACATGCATGCGCTCCATCTCACCTCTACCAGTAGCCTCACGAAGCTCCCTTTTCGCCTACACCCCCACCACTAGATTCCTCCTCAGCGTCTCAAGCTGCTTATGACTTGTCCCACACCTCTCCCTCAAATACCGCTCCGCACCCCCAAACTCTTCATCCAATATATCCAAAATTCTCGGCATACTTTCTCTCTTTGCACCCACCATCCGCAGCGCCGCCTGCCTCCCTTTCTCCATCAACTCAGGCGACAAATCATCCAACTGCACTTGACCCTCTTCCCCGCCATTTCCGACGCTGCGTACATCCTAAACGCCGGACTCTGCAATAGGCGTGCCATGACAGTGTCGCGGATGTGCACGAGTACCAGCTCCGTGTTCTTGTACTCATTTGCAATGTCGTCGAGCGGGACGCCGAGAAAATCGAATAGCAGGCCGAAGAAGATGCCGGTACGGTCTTTGCCTACAGTAGAAAAGTATCTAGACAAGATCTATCTAACCTAATTATGGAGAAGTCAGGTCTAAACATTGCTTTGGTGGTCTGTATTCTCCACTTAACTATACTAGTCTGTACCTAGAATACACGCCCCCGAGCCTCGGTAACTCTACTATTGCAACATTACACCCCCGCATGTCGCGACCCGAATTGTTCTACTATGCTCTATCTCGTATAGATCTAAATGTCTCGAAACGGGATGAACGCCGCAAACTCAGGATGCGGCTGTAAGCTTCCGCCAATTGCAGATAAATCACTGGGTGAACGTTCATACTAGCTGGACAAGACCGAATACTCGGCCGTTTAGGAAATATCATGTGGTGAGATTAAGGACAGATGGGAACAGTTCCAGTCGCGTAGTCTCTGGCGCTTGTACTTCATATGGCAGGAACGTCCGTCTTGAAAATGCTCCAAGGTATTCTAGCTACCGTCCCTGCGGGGAGAGATCAACTACTTGCCGAGTGTAGATCTGCATCAAATCTCCGCTGAAAACACAGTCTTTTGCTCATTTAATTTCCACTATATAAGTCGAATCCACAGTATCTAAAAGAATCCTGCAGATACAATCGGCAGTGCAATCATCGCCAACGCTAAAAAATCGTCTGTCTACGAAGCTACTACCCAACATGTATCTCCTCAGTCTCTATCTCACTTCTCTCTTAGCAATCCCAGCGTTTGCAGCTCCTGCCCTGGAAAAACGCCAAATATCATGTCTCAGGGTCGGCGCCACAGCAACAGCAACATGGACTAACGCGGCCGGCCAGACATGTCGCTGGGCCGGCATCGTAGGCAGCAACTTCGGCACAAACAGCGCAAACGGCGGAGAGTACGCAATCCAACCCTACCACATATCCATCCATACAGTAACTGACATAATCCATAGTTACAGCTGTAACGGCCGCTGCGGAGCAGGCTGCTCAGGCGCTGCACTTGGCAACGTATATACACAGGATTGCTTCTCGCATGATGTTTGTTCTTGGTTCAACAATGCGAGTGGTGGTGCGAGGTAAGCTATTGCTAGCAAAAAATTATTGGGAAAGGTTTCTTGCTGACATAGTACCTCAGTGATCCGAACTGCGGTGCAGCGTTCAATGCAGCAGTTGATGATACGATTAGTGGTGCGGTGAGGGGCTGTGGACAAACGAACCCGTCGAATGCTGCTGTGAGACCAAGTACGAGTCCGGCATGCTCGTAGCGAGTTAGTAATGGAATAAATTTCGAAAGATCCAACAACAAACTTGATTCAGCCAAACACTCGAGAATACTCAACTCGCCTCATCCAGGAGAGACAACCCGTGTTAGATTGGACTAGAAAAGGCAGAGGCAGCGGATCTGTCTAGTCGGACCGCTTGCAATCGCTTGAATTGGTAGATTGTCTCACAGACACAGGGGTATCACTGCTTGTTCAGCTCCTCCCTACTCTAAGGAAAACACCCCAGGAATGGACGTCAGAAGACCTGGATTGGCTATGCGCCGCTATGATTCATCGTTTAGACAAACACTCACCTGTCTAAACGCGAAGACCAACTTGCATATGCGCTTCGACACTCACATATCTGGGTAGAGGTATAGTCGGTGCGTCACAGTCTCATAACAGAGGAACCGTATATGTGGAAGCTACTCGCTGAACTTTAATTATGGGTGATGATACTTAGGGGTAGTAGGCTACATGATCTGCAACCTCAAAATATCAACTTATCAACTTCAACATCGGGCAACTGTACTGTCATGAAAGACATAATCAAATCAGTTGCAATAAGCGATTCAAACAGACTCATCCAAAAGAAAAGCACACCCTTTAGGCCTCGTTGGAAGTACAGCTGCATTCGCGATTTACTGCGCGGCTTCGTCCCCTAGTAAAATTTCACCGGCCTACTTATAGTAAACCTGCATCTACTTGAACACGGAATTTAATAATTTCAATAAGCCGCTCAATCTTTAATACTGAGTGGAGTCTCACACCTACTTATACATAAACATATATATTCGCGAACCAACCGCTCTCCCAAACGTCAGCAGAGAAAATCGGAGTGACTTCTCACACAGCCCCCGCTCCTGTCTCCGGCATCTGCGCTCCGTCTTGTCCGACCTGCACCTTCTCACTGCCATGTGTTTCCTGTGTAGCTTCACCACTCGCCAGTGCTTTGAAAGCACTCAGCAAGTCGTTTTTCAAATCTTCCCAGTTTTCCACGCCCACACTAACACGCAATAATCTCTCATCCACCTCAGTATCGCTCATCCTCCTCCACTCGATCAAGCTCTCCACACCACCCAGACTAGTAGCGTGATGGAAGAGCCGGAGGTGCGATGGGAGCGTACGAGCCTGTTTCGCTTCCTTCATACAGATGCTGAATACGGGACCAAAGCCATTGGGCATCTGCTGCTCGAGCCAAGACATGTCGGAAGTCTGGAGTGATGCGTGCTTGACTTTACTAACAACCTTCTTAACAGCTTCCACATCTTCTCCCTTGCCATTTAGCGAATCATTCAGCCAGCCAACGAGGCTGTCGGCATTGGAAGACTGGCGCTGCACACGCAGGTCCAAGGTACGCAGACTGCGCACGCCGAGCCAGCTTTCCAGATTGCCCAGTACGGCTCCAAGGAAGATGCGCTCTGCACGTAATGTCTTTGCCCGCTTGAGGCCTTCAGGCCCGGCAGATGTAGCAAGAATACCGCAAAGCATATCGCTGTGACCGCCGATATATTTCGTTCCACTGTGCATGACAATATCGGCACCCCATTTGAATGGATCTTGAAGGCCCGGAGGCGCAAAAGTCGCGTCGACACTTAGCAAGGCACCTCTTGCGTGCGCTCGCTTTGCATACTTTGCGATTTCAAAGGCCTCGCCGGTGGGGTTCAAGGGGGTCTCTAGATGAACGAGATCGCCCTTGCCTAAACCAATAGCATCCCAGGCTGAATCGTCGGCGTGGAGGTCGACTGTCTTGACGCCGTGCATCTTTTTGTGCAGATCAATCACTCCGTGGCAGCCATGGTACCCCCCACTGATGGCCACAACCTTGGGAACAATATTCACCAGCAACGCATGAAATGCACTCAATCCACTCGTATAGCTGACGACGTGGTTAGCAAGGCCGTTGCTTCCATCCAATTCGCTCTCATTAGCATCGGGGTACATCAAAGGTGCTAGTATGGTCTCTAGACGATTGGTGCTGGCCGATGCGAGACGCGAGTACACGAGCGGTGTTTGCAGGTCCACGAACTCGCCCTCATCGGGAACAGGCTGCAGTTTGTCTGGGTTGCGTGGATAGCGAAACGTGGTGGACGTGTGAATTGGCGGGGCAACATCGGTAAGCGCATTGATGCGGTCATCGGCATGGATGCCATAAGTCGAGGCGTGATATGAAGGCATTGTTTTACTATTGAACAATTATTCCACTGATGATGAAACAGAGTATAACTGAAATTGCGGTAAAGAAGCCTTCAGTCCGTCATTAAACCCGATATCGAGCGTAACGACCGTGGGGTCAAGATTTCTTATGTCAACGCCAACGATATCAAGATGACTATTTTCACAGAATGTCGACATCGCGCCCTATCCGGTAGAATTGCGGGCCACGCGTGCTAGATTAGCCATAGCCGCCACTACAGTGGAGCTATCCTCAATAATTTCATACCAACCAGGGCCGTCATGTGGTTGGATAACTTGTAACAGGTGGGGAGCTTGGAGCAGCAGCGGCTATACGAATCGTGTGTGATAGCATTTGAGTGGGTACCTAGTTTTCTCAATGCCTCCCTTCAAACCTTATATACGTTTGAGATTCTCACATAACCTTGTCAAGAGCAGTTGTATCCCGTACATTTTGCGTCGCGTACACCACACCGAGACGATGACGAGTGCGGGGCAGTTTTACCCCGCACTCGCGACAAAATTTATCCCGAACGAATGCGCTGAGACTGTGGGGGAAAACCATGAACTACTGGATAGAGCCAAAGAGGTCAAATTACAATTTCTGGGTCATATATCATTCCATTCATAGCTATCGGGTTGATCGTACACTTTCATCGACGATGCCTACGTCAGAAGCAAAGGTCTATTCCGAGCCATCTCAAGTCCTCACCAGCCCATTACGACGTACTCCACACGTCTACTGGATGCCAGCAGCAACAATCGTAGGCGGCTTGCTCTTGTCCTTGATAGCACCGCTATCAGATCCGCATGCCTCAATAGCTCGGACAACCTTGTACGACTCGACATCGCCATCAGGGACGCCGCCGAATACGACGTGCTTGCCGTCGAGCCACGAGGTGATGACGGTGGTGATGAAGAACTGGGAACCGTTGCTGTAATCTGTCAGCTCCGCCCTAGTATACAAATGTGTCGGTGACATACGTGTTGGGGCCGGCGTTGGCCATGGAGAGGAGGAAGGGTCGGTCGTGCTGAAGCTTAAAGTTCTCGTCGGCGAACTTGTCGCCATAGATGGACTTGCCTCCGGTGCCCTGCATTGCAATATGTCAATCAGCTGCCTCTGAGTACACCCAGTCAGACACGTACGTTGCCGCGGGTGAAATCGCCACCCTGGAGCATGAAGTTGGGGATCACGCGATGGAATCTGGAGCCCTTGTAGCCGAAGCCCTTCTCGCCAGTGCACAGCGCGCGGAAGTTTTCGGCAGTCTTGGGAACTACATCGTCGAAAAGGTCAAAGTTGATGCGACCAGACTGTTCTGGGGTGTGATGGTCAGCGACAGATTAGGCACTTGGGCTATCTGCACAAAGAGATATGCCGACAGCTGGGGTGCAGGAGTAGCTACCTTCGACCTGGCCGACCTTTGTGACCTTTCCAGTGTTGTCAACCTCGACGACGGGGCCCTTCCAGGTGCAATCGAAGTAAGCTTTGATGGCCATGTTGTATGCCGAAGGAGTGAAGAAGCGTTTATGGACAGAGGCGCGGAATTGAGGAGCTACACGGAAAGCAGATAGAGCAGAGGCTCGAGGTAGGTGGGGCATGATGCAGACGCGGGGTGTAGCGTCTAACCTGAAAGGTAGTCAGTGCCATGTGCCTTGGCGGTGAATCGTGGTGAGATAACAGCGTGTTTGCCTGTGACGCAACATGTGCGTGGCACCTGGAGGCTGAAGCGCAGTGAGGGTGAAAAGGGTCCTGTCTTACTGTAGCTATTGTTCTCGACACGCACGGCTAGCGGCTCTTGCAATTGCACAATCAACGGATGTGCGCGGGGGCGGCGAATATGCGGCGACAGTGCTCAATGGCACGGCGATGCAGCCAGACGTATGAAATAGAGACAAATATAGTACAGATGATGGCACAAACTGATGCGAAGTCGCTGGTGGAGCAGGCGAATGGCAGATGGGATAGAAAACTTTGGATACCTCAAGCTTAAGCACAAACCGCCGACTTTACATTTAGCGCGTTGCCCGATTCGGCGGATCCATTGCTCTACTAATACCATTCAGAACCCATCTGTTGACTGGTGGGTCTCCTCCAGACAGCCATTGCAGACGGGCCGCTTGTGCCTGTCACAGCCATGTGCGAAGGAGAGTCTGCGACCTTTGCGTCTCTGCGTCACTGCATTCATGATAAACTTGAGGTTCGTGCTGGGAGGTGTTGGAGAGAGAGAGTCAAGAGCTTGTCACGTGTGTCCATGGAGCAACTTCAGAAGCTATTCGGCCATACAACGGGATTGGGCGAGACAGGGCAAATGCGCATATAATCAGTTTCAGGATCGACACATGGGCCTAGGTTGCGTGTAAGAGACCCTAAAAGCTCGCCTTGCCTCGTTGAACCTTGTGTGACATCTTCGCCCCTACTGGCGTTTGCAAGGGCGCTCTCGGGGGTCCGTTACCGAGCCCATCAGTACCCAAGCTGCCTCCCCCATACCAGCACACCCACGTCGACAAACAACCCCCAACAACGCGCGCAGCAGTCACAGCCATGGATTTGAGCAGCTTGAAAGACCAAGTGAGCAATCTCACGCTCTACGACCTCAAGGCTGGTTTCCGCAAAGCCCAAAATGGTACGCCCATAAGAGAGAAGCCAGCTGGCCATCGCTGACATGCTGCCTAGCGGTGATGAACTACACTGAAATGGAGGCCAAGGTGCGCGAGGCCACAAACAACGAACCGTGGGGTAAGCTGCTTGTGCACATCGTATGAGCGGTTGCTAATGGCCAGCAAGGCGCCTCCTCGACTGCATTACAGGAGATTGCCAATGCAACGTTCAACTAGTGGGTCTTGTCCATCAGAGGTCCAAAGAGTGCTGCTGACAGCGCAGCCAACTACTGAATGAGATTATGCCTATGATCTACAAGCGTTTCACAGAAAAGGCTTCGGAAGAGTGGCGACAGATCTACAAGGTACTTCAAACGCTCAATGGCACCACGCAAGCTGACAGTCTAGGCTTTGCAACTCCTCGAATACCTAATCAAACACGGCTCGGAGCGAGTAATTGATGATGCCCGTTCTCATGTGTCACTGCTCAAGATGCTGCGACAGTTCCACTACATCGACCAGAACGGCAAAGATCAGGGCATCAATGTACGGAACCGCGCCAAAGAACTGGCCGAGCTCCTCAGCGATGTCGACCGTATCCGAACCGAGCGCAAGAAGGCCCGCGCGAACCGGAGCAAGTTTGGCGGCGTCGAGGGTGGAGCGGGCATGGGCGGCTTCTCCGGAAGTGGAGGCTTCTCTGGGGGCAGTGGAGGCAGCAGATATGGTGGATTTGGCAGCGAGTCGGCAGACTATGGTGGTTACAGAGGAGAAGTCTATGGTGATGGCGGTGGTTTCGGGGGCAATCAGTCAAGTTTTGCAGACACACAGCAGCGACGTGAGCGATTCGACGAGTACGACGAGTACGACGAGGGTGAGAGCGCAAGCCCTGCACCTGCACGAAGAAAAGAACCCACAGCAAGCCGAAAAGAGGTCAAGAAGGAGGAGGAGCCGAAGGCGAAGGCGCCTGAGCCAGTGGTCGATTTGCTGGCTTGGGATGACGAGCCTGCGCCAGTCTCAACCTCGGCTGGAAAGAAGCCTGTTGCCGCTGCAAACGACGACTTTGGAGACGATGATGATTTCGACGACTTCCAGTCTGCAGCACCTGCAGCACCCGCAGCCAAGCCAGCTGTGGCGGCTTTCAACATGGCCCCTCCAGCGTCTACATCCACCATCACTTCCTCGACCCAATTCGCCGCACCCCAGGCTCAGTCTGCTTCACAGAACAACAACTTGAGCAACTTGTTTGCCACAGTCTCGCCACCACCTGCTACAAATAAAATGAGCAGTCCGCCATCTGTAGTTTCGCCCATGTCCCAACCGCCTCAGCCATCCGGATACCAGGCAACAGGTCCAAACTACTTCACATCTGTACCTCAGCCCGCTCCTCAGTCAGGAGCCTCGACACTTTCTGCCATATCCTCAGGTGGCCGCATTGGAGGTGGAGCTGCTCCTAAGAAAGCTGGAGGCGATGCCTTCGCCTCGTTGCTTGGTGGGGTTGCACCTAAGAAGGCTTCCACGCCCACGCAAAAGGTCACTATGGGTGATTTGGCCAAACAGAAGACGTCCCAAGGGCTATGGGGAGCTCCTGCATCTTCTGATTCTAGTACGCCTACTGCCCAAACACCGCAGTCGGGCTCTAAGCCTGGTGGTGCCCTAGGTGACTTGTTGGGATGAGCGATGCCATGGTATGCATTATCCATCCACGACTGGCGTTGGGGTACAAAATGGGGGCGCACTGCGACAGGGTAGCAAATTTGATACTGTAGACCATTGAAATGCACGATGATCCAATCTTTCATTGCAACCGGCTTGCAAGCCCATAATGAACCCTTGAGCGTGTACCACACAGAGCCCACGTTGCGTGCTATGTTAGTTCCCCGCAAATACGGCGACTCTATTGGCTGCGGCGGTGCCGTACCCCTGCGCACTTAGTAGTATTTCGAGCTTACCTTGCTGCAGCCAGAATCCATCCTGAGGCACAACATGGGAAACGACAGCCTCATCTCTTCTCACTGTCCGAGCATGCTTCAATGCAGATCTCGAGATTTCTTATTCGCATCGCATTGCTGCTGCTTCCTGTAGCTTTCATCGGCACAACATGGCTGTACTTGTACCCAATCTTCCATGGCTGCGCGTTCCCCACTCCACCGTCTACACATCCGCAGCCCCTTGCGCCCTTTCGCCTCCTGTCACTCGGTGACCCGCAACTCGAAGGCGACTCGTCGCTACCTGACCCTAACGCCCTCATCTTTCCATCTGTCGAGTTCCTGGTGACTGATCTGCGCGATGCGGAAGATTTTGCTGAGAGGATCGATATTGCGAAAGAAGCCGCAAGGGGCGTTGTCAAAAACGCGCGGAAATGGCTAGAGGGAAAGAGAAAGGAAGTCGATCTTTGGGGGAATGATCGCTATCTGGCGCATATTGTGAGGAGCTTGCGGTGGTGGACTCAACCAACGCACATCAGTGTGCTGGGTGACTTGCTCGGGAGCCAATGGGTTACTGATGGCGAGTTCAGTAAACGTGCAGGAAGATACTGGAAC